ACTCTGGAACGACCGAATGTCCTCGTTATGGGCTGGCCAGTTTTCTATATTTAGTTTCACTGGAACTGTATATCTGGTCACGTTTCTTCGGCGCTGTGATTATCTCTGCTATCCATAACCAAAATTTAATATGCAGAATGATCATTTGCCTTGGTCATTTTACACAGTTCAGTGTTTTCTTTTGTTTTTCTCCGCTGTAGTTTATCTAGGACTCCAAGCAACAACGGAATAGAAATTTGCTCAGCTTGCTTACGCCAAATTCGTCACAGTCTTCGCTCTCTTTCCACACGTTCTATCACGGAAGGGATCGATCCCGCGGTGGAGCTCATGAATCGTCCTGAAAAATTTTGCATCCAAAAGAACTTGATGTCACCCATCACCTCGGATCCCACTACTCGCCCTCGGCGTTGTGGTCAATGTGAAAATTGTTTCTTGTTCACATGCCTTTCGGAACTCTGCACCGTCCTCCAGTCTTACACTTCATTCACAGACCCCGATGAAGTATCAAGTCATACGAAACCAGGATCTGAATTCATTTCACCTGTTGGAGGTCCGCTTCTGCTTCCTTTAATTGGAAAAAATCCAAAATCCTCGAATGATTCTCTGTTTTCTCGGTGAGCAAAGCATCCGTATAATCCTTTGTTTTTCAACACAGTCTTCATATCCCGTTTAATCTAAGAGCAGTGTTTCGCACCGAGCTTTTAGCAGTAATAGTAGTGACTATCATTGAATGCTGCCTTGCGCTCCACAATCTGCTAGTGGTCTTGGCGTTTGCAGAAATCGGAATACTACAAAGCACCTCCCTCTGGCTATCTGGAGCACGAGTTGATGGTATGAGGTGACAACTCACGGTGACACCGACCGCAACTCCCCTCATGAAAATGTCTTACTTTATTGTAATCGAAGGGAAATGGTAAATGATTATCGTACACACCGTCGTGGATCAGGTGCGATGATGACCTTGCAAGTGTGCATGAAGGATCGCAAAGAGTGATAGACATATTTATTGTGTCCCGCGAACGTTGAGATTTTGATTTCTGAACCCAAAAGCTCACTATTTGTGTTCAGCCTGAGATTTCATCTTTGTACGCACCGCTGATCAATCCAAAAATGGCGTAACTGCCCAGTACCGATTGTCGGCATCCACATCCACTATTTGATAACAAGAATAATAATAATAATAATGTGTTGGCTGCATAATATGCATTTTTGACACCAGTCTGAAACCGCCTACTTATCATTTCAGATGATGTGCCCCCTTTTATGGGAATGGACAAGTAAACTGGTTTTTTTGCCATCATCACTGGTTGCACTCTTGTGGTGCCCTTCATACTCTGTTGAATGATCCTATCTGGATATCCATTTTCTGTGAAAATCGTTCTGATTTTCCTTAGTTCTTCCTCACGTGAATCAGGCGAACATATTCGCCCTTTCCTGTTCACTGTGCATCGAATGTATGCCTTCTTTTGCTATAAAGGTGCGAAACTGTGATAATTTGTGTACTGTCCTAACCAAGTTTGACCTCGATGAAGGCCACGTCGAAGAGACCCGTTTTTCACAGTGCAAGAGAAAAATGTCGAGGAACGCCGACCCTTCTAAAGATTCTATTTCTACCATGAATTCTATATTCTTATGGGTTTTGTTAAATTGGCCCAACAGAACCGTGGGACTCATGGAAGAATTTACCACGCAGATGTCATCTGCAAAGCGTCGATATAATTTACATTTTTTTTAATATAACTCAGTACTCCAGTTTCCAATTTCACCATAAATACACCGGCCAAAACGGGACCTAGGGGAGGTCCCATCACAATTCCGTCTTTCTGGCCGTACGTCACCCCACTGAACTGGAATTGAAAATTACACGTGCATAGGTAAATTAGATTGCGAAGGTAAATCAGTATTCATACATTTGCGGTCAATCTGATTGCATAGGCATTCTATCGTCTCCATTAGATTCGTTGGTGAATAGAGAAGCCACATCCAGAGAACACGTGCTTTATGGCGTGTTATGGATCGGCTTCCGTGATGCTACCTTTAGCCATACTTAGACACCAGAACCCGCGTTTTGTAGGAAAAGCGATGATCGGGTATTCAGTTCAAACTGAACTGAACTATCGAAGGCAGGGCGGTGCAAACATTTTGATTGGGGGGTGATACCCAATGCTTATGGTTGGGCTTATCACTGGTTGCATGGCGCTGCCATCAAACACGGAAAATCCCTGAGACACAGTTATGAAATACTGAAAGCACTTGACGCGGAGGGTCTCACAATTTTGACAACCCTTGAATAATTTGTAACGAACTGCTGTATTGCATATCCGTCCCTTACGAGAAGGATGGATGTCCTTGCGACGCCGTAAGATCCCTTGTGTTGGAGGACACTCTGCCTTTTGCTGTGCCTTTTGTTGTTTCTTCAATGTCACTGCCAGAGTGATCTAGAAGTTACTGCGGAGTGTAAATAAAACTGTCGGCCGAATCAACTGGTCGAATCCAGTGGTTATTAGTGAAGCGGGCTCCTTGTAACCTTTGAAAATTATTTGGCACTTGGAGAGAACAAAACAAATGTATGTCATATTTCTCTTTCGCAGTTACAAAGTGATTCTGCACATTGCTCATTCTTTGATACACAAAATCTTGCGTTTCCTTCATACTGACAGGTAAGGGAATACAGGAGCGAAACAAACCGATCGATGTTTTAACATTGCAGCTCATCGGATCGCAGCAGAAAGTGAATCACATAGCACATTCAATCGCACACACAACTCATAAACAAATAAATCATTGAATTAATCGGTCAAAACCTGAACGATGAAGTATCCAGCCTCATATCTAATCGGCTCATGAGCACATTTTGTGGCGATCGCTCCCTTTTTTACCACCCTTTTGTAATGGATAACCGACGGGTTTAACCCAAAAGTCGCGTAGACTTACTGTTCAGTGATGGAAACCGGCAACCTAAGCGCCTTTGCCGAACCACGTAAGGCCTTTTTAGGTGAACGGTAGTGTCGCTTTGATACAAAGGATCTGCGCATGTTCATATTTTGTGTAACGTATACTAGGACCATCTTACGCAATGAATACTCGAGCCGTAGAGGACTTAGTTGTCTGTTTCTGAATCTCATTTACTGTTTGTCAGTTTTAATTGCTACGTGATTCTTTCTAATGCTACTTGTTTTGTTTCTTTCTGTTTGTTTGCTTCTCCACCTCGCAATGTCGCATTATTTTGCTGGTGCAGCTCTCTACCTCCAGCTATCACTCTCTCGACGGTTTCAGAGAGCGTGATAACAACTGATAATCGCCCCGTGTGTCTTTGTTGTCAGTCTTCGGCCACTCCATTCCTACATCGGTATCAAGTTAGTGATGATTCAAATCAGGTCGTCTGCTCCGGTTGTTTGTGGGCATGGTTGGCTCAGGTGAATGTAGCCTATCACGACCCAACTGTGCAACGCATTGCTCGACGCCTCGCTTCTGCAGCCGCGGCGACTGGTGATTGCGTACCGCTTTTATCCTCAGCCAGTCGTCGCACTCTTGTCGATACGGCTCGGTTAGCTCGACTAATTTCGTACCATCCATGTAATGCAGTCTGCGCAGAACTGTCACACAGGCAAGCGTTACCTTTGTGGTTTGTCTGCCCCGGCTGTGTGACTCGACGTTTGCATCGACTGTGCTCCGCACAACTTCCTTTGAACTGTCCACGTTGGTATCGGCGTCGTGTACAGCTGGCTTGCAGATCAAAATCGCTTGAGGATCTAGATCCCCGGCTTATTTGCCTTCTCTCTGTAAGTTCAGCGGATTATTTACAGTATGACATTGTCATTCGACCAATTTTGTTTCACCTCATTTTGTTATAAACATAGAGGCTCCATTTTTGGTGAACACCTATCTTTCAGCTATAGAAATCGCCAATATATATATATATATATATATATATATATATATATATATATCCTAGAACTTCAAATGGAGAATAAGCAGGATAGGAACACACATAATAGTCGTGTAATAGTATCGTAGGATGACGAAGATGGCTGCGTCGATTACGTTGGTAATAGGTGGTAATCGGGTTGTGATCGAACATCTGAAGTATCAACATATGTTAGTAATGGCTACTTCAAGTGCTTAACGAAGGCGAAGACTATGACCACTACTATATTATATATGACAGTTTTGTAAAGAACGGTGTTGGTTGTTGTTTTTGAAGCTCAGGTAGTATAACTTGATGTTTAGTTGTTCGCCGAGCTTAGCAATTCCGTTGCAAGAAAAATGCCAAGCTCGGCGAACAACTGAACATCATACATATCTGTGTGAGTTTATGACCCATTACCTTTTGATTGTTTCCTACTTTAAGTACTAGCAGTATTTCCCCAAATACGTAAACATCATGTAAATTGAGTCCTTATACACATCCTAGGACATCACTTTCTGTTTTGAATGAACGAGCGTTGAATCCCAATATTGTGATTCCATTCAGAGAACCAAGCTTGGCTTAGCTTGGATGTCCCAAGGAGCGAAACCTTCACCCAAGACAATTAAGAGTATCTGGTGCCTCTGAACGATCGAACGGGCTAATCCAAGCTTGATATTCTAAATTGATTAAGCCATTCGCACAAGCTGATGACCGTCGACCGTGTAGCTCAGGGGTAAAAGTTTGAAGTCCGGGCCCGAATGTCCGCGGTTTGAGTCCTAACAGGGACACAGTATGCACGGCTGACGAGTCCCAGAGTTAAAACAGCGGTCCAGTGCTGTTTGTTGATCACGACAAACATTTCCATCGCATTGTGATTCCGCTTTGGGTTCTCATAGAACAGCCTAACAATTCGGAGGTAGTTACCACCACTTTTCGGTATTATGGACTGTTTTCCTATGCGTTCATTCAGTGGATGTTTGATAGATCGATTTAAATCCACTGCTAGTATGACAAACCACAGTATTTCTTGTGCCACGTCACAATTTACTTAGTCTCCAGCCCATGTACCTCGTTTTTGACTTTTAGAAATACAGCTGGGCTTTGTTTGCTGATGATGTCTTCATGATTTTCGTTAAGCCCCTATTGTCCATGCTCAGTATTCGTGCTCCAGCAACCTGGAAACGATTGCCTCAGTCACTGTTGGAAGTGTGTGGATTTGTTGATGCAAATAAACAGTAGATCACTCATCCAGTTCAGTCAGTCAGTTTTACAACCATTAACAATGCACTTTCGTGCGCCCTTTTCTTATTACTTATTTTCGACGACCTTGAGGGTTTTCTATCTTGTGAACACTTTTTACACAAACCTTGACGTCTAAGCTCATTTTTGACAATCGGGCCTTATAAGCAGTGGACTGTTTTGCTGCTGTACCCTTTTTTAAATGCCGCTTCGTCTAGAATGCCAGTCTTTAGGTGGTGGTGGCGGTGCAGTGGTGTAGTCGCTATCACCAGCATGCTTTGAACCCTATGGTCCGAGGTTCGAGCTCCGCCACCGCCACCCGACTTTGGTGGTAGGCAGCTCTGCTGTCGTCCGGTTCAACACCACGCCTAACCTATCGGGGCCTTATGTGGTTCGCCACTCCAAGTTCTCGTGCTTAGGTTGCCGATTTCAACCACTGAACAGCAGGTCCTCGTGACTATGGGGTTTACCCCGTCTGCTGTTCATCACACCTAGGTGTGTAATAAAGAAAAGATACCATAGGCCTCAGTTCATCCTTCCAATATGTATCTAACTCATAGTGGTGAGCAAACGCTATCGTATGGTGTCTTTCTCATTCCTACTTTTATTGAGTATACAAAGATACAATTTTCAGAAGGAGGGAAACGGTCAATCAAAGGGCTATCATTCAACAATTGGGGAAATCGGACGGTGGTGGTGGGAGTTGAACACACATCCGTGAGGTGATAATTTGATGACGGTACCACCGGGCCACCACCGCCTAGTCCTAATGGAGGGATTTTTAGCCTAGTGCACACCAGGGTCATTTATTATCGCACATGATAACAGAGGAGTAAACTGCAACGTAAATTCAGGAGAAAGATGACCATAACACGTGAAATTGGATGTCACTTAACTCGGGTTTTTAAAAAGTTTCTGACTCACGCTTTCTGTGCCGGAAATCTCGAAATAAATGGATTAGGTAGCGGTACCAATACATAGGTTTATAATCACACTTGGTTCATATTGTTTAAGTTCAGTGTGCAATGCGTCAGTGATACCTGATAGATTATTGTTGCAGAAGTTTTCGCCAGAGGTAAAATGTTTGTTGACGATACAGTTGAGCAAGTGTGAATAGGTAATTCCGCTTGTGCGTGATATAATATGAACAGACCGATGCAGAATTGCCTAATCTTTAACTTAACGACTGGGGGATAAAACTGGGGGCAGTAGTCAATGGGATTAACAACTCAAGGATATGCAAAACGGCTGAGTAAATACTGTTCAACTTTAAAGTATCGCAAGTGGCAAATAAATAAACACAAACGTAAAATTTTGCTAAAATTTGAGTTGAAGTATAAAATCCTCGTGAGATCTTGGCAGATAGTAACACCTAGTTTATGTAACCAAAGGATTGTGGGAACAAACTGGTTGCTGACAGAATACAGAGCATTTGCTCTCAAAAGAATGTAGCCGTTTCCTTTTGACTAGCGAGAAGGTGACATCTATACATATTTAGAGGCGTTATTAGATAATTTGGGTTACGAAGCCCGGCATCTTGAGACAGGTACATTGGTTTGAAGCTGTAAGAAACCGAATTAGTCATCCCAGATACGTCTAAGCTTTTTCGGGGTTAACTACTCAGGTATTCAGTCATTATGCTTATGGATTCCTTCCTCTGGTAGTCATAGTATACCTTAGGATAGAAATACTAAACTTCGATAGCATGACATTCATCTTGCCCTTTCTCATTTGCTGAAAATATCGGTCACATCTTCATGATTCAGCTGCTGTATCCAAGGAGAAGTGTTATTTTATTTCTTTTAACATTTGTATACATCTACTGTGCATCACCCTTATTTGTTTTTAGAACCCCGAAACTGATGGTGCACCCAATCGAATGGCTTTGGTAGACGTGGAATATACGAACACGGTCATTGAACGCTGGTTGCTTCCGCCGGAGCCCCCGGTGATTGACGAATGCATTAATCGCGATCAAAAGAATGACGCAAAACAATCGTCCGATGAATCGGACACGGGAACAGAGGATAGCTTCTTCTCCGAAACTTCGAGCGGTGTGTCTTCGGACTCATCACCGTTGCGTATAGACACACCGGACGCAGATTACGGAGCAGATTGTTGGTGGGAACATGGTTCTGAGCCCGCAGATGAGACCATTAAGATGAACGATTCACCCGATATGGTCATTCAGGATTCTGATAGAGGGAGAAAATATTCCAACGAACATGAAATAGAAGAAGAAGTACCTACAGATCTCGTTACTTCAAAACGGCAACGTAAATTGACTCCGAAAGCTGCGGAAGCTATGGCTAGGTTACGCCGGCGACCGCATCCCGGTACCTTTGCGTCAGACAATTCTATTCCGGAAGAGACCAACGTCTCCGAAAACGGATTAACTCTCGGGTCTGAACTACAAGATTCCAGTCATCAGGCAAAAGAAATTGAATCTCCGCACGAAGAGGCTGTAGAATCAGGCACTCGTGTATTTCAGTCGAATGAGCTTCAGGCAATAGGAGCCGGCGATTCGGGTTCCAAACGATTCGCAAATGATGGTCCTAGCCCCCCTGCCTCACCAAGATCTGAAACAGAAACCCAAAAATCGAATAGAAGTCATACTGGAAAACGTAAAGCCAGTCCTCCAACAGAACCTGTGATTCGAAGCAAACGCAGTTTGAAAATCAATGTACGTTTCAGTTTTTTATGCCGATTCTAACTGTTTATTTTTCCCAATGATGTCTTCGCTAAGTCATAATTTTATACGATTCTGAGTTCCTGATGTGACACAGATCAACACCATCCTATGACTGTCTCTTTCCCGCAATACTAGGGAGAAATGTGAAACCCGAAAGTAACACTTCACTAATGCTTTATTATCAAGTGAAGTAGCTATTCATTCATAAACGTAATAAAACTCGGATCAGTTTCACTTAAGATATATATATATATATCATGGTAAGTAGTATATGAATGACCCGACAAAATTTCCCTGGAAGCATATGACCGGTTTTGCGGTTCTTGCCGCTCGTCAGGCATGCGTATCCGGTAATCTTTTGTCAGTTCGTTCATATACCTGTACCCAGAAAGTGTATTTCCGTCAAAAAGACCTTGTTGGCAGCACCGGATTACTTTTGGATACACAGCTCTTTTATATCCAGTCCAATGGAGAATCAATGTTTTGCGGGTGGGTTAGATGCTACTCACCGCGACCAACGTTCATTCATATACTATTTATTATGAAATATTCTATAAAGATGCATACGTCACGTTGGTTGCGGTTAGTAGCATGGATGAATGGACGGACGGACGGCCGGATCCGTGACGGGTCTTTGGATAAGCACTACTAGTGAGCTCTAATCTGAGCGAGACTCGCGTTGAGGGTTTCCTGAATGTATGGTTGAACGATTGAACTGATGATTGAGAGTGAAAATAAAGACTGATCTGTTTGGGTCCCACAACACTACTCACAAGTAGCTGAATTGTAATCACAGATACCTATTATCACATAGATCTGGAAGCATCCACGAATTATCGAATGATTTGTACGAACAACTCAAATGGCTGATCATATAGATTTTTTTGTTAACAGAACCTCCTGGAAAACCGTTGTACAAGTTTTTGATACTTTGCCTAACGTTTTATCTTACGAAATACAGCCTAGGTTTTTCAATGATTACACGGGCCCATTCCCATGTCTGGTGGGCGAAGGTCGTCAGATCCGGGAACCTTGTGTCGCAGAATACGGTTCTGAGGAGTCTGACGACAATGAGGACAGCGGACCTAGTCCTCGTCGTCTGCAAGACAGAAGAGGCCTCAAGCCAGCTCGCCTGTCCGGTTCATCACGCGGTCGATTTGATTCTCGAACCAGACGCCAATCTAACACACAACAGGAAGGTGGTTACGGATCTTCACAAAAACCAACTGGGTTGGGTCCTCGTGTGAAGCAAGTTAGCCGCCATGCCTTGAAATCAGGTTAGCTTGCTTTTTTTCTGTCGGAGTTACTAGAGAAATAATGTAAAAATGTTTCCAGTTAGTTCTTGTTGGTTGGTTATAAATTTGCTTACCTAACAATTATGTTTTTCTTCGATCGCAGTTTAACATTGCTTGACAGTAAGGCGAGACACATTGTAGCCACTAGAAGCCAAAAGCAAATGCTTCACACGAAATGTTGGTAGTTATTCCATGTTTTTTCAATTCCATAGTGATATCACTGCATCATAAAAATCGGACTTGATAAATCCTACCCATAACCTTTCGTAGAATATACTGATGTACAACATGGTAGAATGTTGCTCCGAATTCACAACTCTGCAGTCTGTCTAATTTATCTGATTATGCTCTCTCGATTCCTATTTCCTGAACGTTTGGGACACCATCACCCAATGGATCCGGTGATTGTTCATCCAGCACTTTTTCAGTTGCCACAAACGAGTCAGCTGCTAATAATCCATCAACTCACTTCTGGACCCCTGCTGAGTTTATTACACCGATCACTTCAAGAAAACGCCCCCGCTACTCAGTGAAATCGCAGTGGAGTCTACAAATACGGGTCCTCTGTGACATTTCATGAGACCATGACAACGGAATCATTCTATCAAGGCATCCGCCTAAGTCTACCAATTATCTTTTGAGGATCTTCGGTGCTCGAACTACCATACATATCTCCTATACTGAAACACTTCATTTTCTATTATGAACATCCACCTATTTATTATTTAGGTTTCGAACGCAGCAAGTTCGGCAATTAACGTTTGAATTACTCATCGATTTTGACATAATCCTCTTCATTATACATACAGACGCGGATCGGTATGGTTCCACCATATCAGCTATGGTTCACGCTGCCCGTCTGGCTGCAGTCGGTGCGAAAATCCCAGGTGGCACTAGCCCGAATCACGCTGCATTAGCGGCTACCGCACGCTCTGGCACTAATTTACCTTCTGGTGATGACCACACCCCAGGACTAACTTGTGAGGATAGCGAAGCACATGCATCGTTCGACTTGACAGAAGTTAGCATGCGCGGCTCGTCTCGTTTGTCGTCAAAGGACAGTGGACGTCGATTGCCTTTGCGCTGTGGTCAGTGTGCCGCTTGCATTGGGCTCATCCAGGCCTGCGGTCGCTGTATCAATTGTCGGTAAGTTATAGCGCCTCGATCGGTGTTCTATTAGAAGAAGTACGCACGTACACCCCATACTTAACCCATGTTTCTGCAAATTATCGCATATGAAATGACGCTCTGAACTTAGCTTGCCATTCACACTTTTGTTCAGATAAATTGTCCTTCAAGTCAAGTCAGGTCAAAAATCGCTTTATTCATCCCAGTGGATGGATTCTCAGCTTCTTGCATTCTAGTAACATTTATCATCACACACAGTCACAAAAAGTGAAACAAAACAGCATCGTCAATTCAAAGGAATGTGGAGTACAAGTTTAAAAATAAACATCGATTGCGTAGGCAATTCAAGAAGTTTTCTCTAACGGATGCCTTTGGAGACAGAAATCTCAAAAGATAGGGGATGACGGACAAACGATAGGCGGTGGTACGAGCATACGCCAGTTTATAACGACATCTTGTTACAGAAGTGAATATACGTTGTTTAAGTTCTGTGTGTAATGGGTGAGTGGTATCTGATAGAATATTGTTACACAAGTTATCGCAAGAGGTAACATGTTTATCGGTGATAATGTTGATCAAGTGCAAATAAGAAATACCGCTTGCGCGAGAAATAATTTTAATAGACCATCGTAGAATTGTGTAATCTTTAGCTCTAAGACCGGCAAATAAAACTAGGGATCAGTAGAGAGGATGAGTAACAACACAAGAATATACGAATCAAGTGAGTAAATGCAGTGGAACTTTGAAAGAGCGCAAGCGGGTAATAAAGAAACAACCATCGAAACTTCACGACGGTCAACTGATTGGAAATAAGAATGCGATACTTCAGTTTCAGTCAACGTGGAAAGCATGCAGTTGAGTTCATCTGCTGTGCGTTGAGGCCCGCGTAGTCTGACTTTTGTTCCACCAAGTTTTTTCATAGCGTTCCAGATTTGCTTGCAATCATGGTCACCAAGAAGGGTTTCAGCGTAGAGTTTATCAATATTTTGGATCTCATTCTTGATCAGCACTGACTGAAGGTCGATGACCATTTTTATATGCCCATTCCTTGGTTCTTCTGAGGGTCTTCAGTCTGGGAGAAGGAAATCTGGTGAGACTGATGTATATAGGTAATATGGGGCAGCAGATGTCAAAGCAGAAGTTCAAATAGCTCCTGAGGTGTTCACTTTCACTCGAAACACTTGAATCAAAAAACTGTTCAAAATTTGTACTATAGACCATTTCTCTCAGTGATGCCAAGATAACCGGGTCACGGAATCTATGAAAAATCTTCCGGCCAGATGTACGTGTCAGTGTGTTATGATGATTCTTTGGATAGACTTTTGGTAAAACATTGATGATACAATGATCGGAGTTTGTCAGATAGGCTCCTCTTCGCACAGCAAACAGGTCAGGATCGTTCGAAGATATGAATTCCAGCTGCGCGTTTCCTCGTGTGGAAAAATTTACATAATCGTGGAGCGAGAGACATGTCAAAAAATGAATGTCTACATGGTTAAAATCGCCACTAACAAGAAAAAGAAGGCGTTCCGTGTAGTTAGAAAGTTCGAATATAAATACATCAGCAAACGTCTGTACATCAGTAGTTGTACTGGAAGGTGCTATGTAAATGTTTAATGCCACAATGGAACGATATTTACTGAGGAAACGAAGTTTGCATTCAACCGAAAGACTACATATATCCTACGTTTTAGGTGAAGATAATCTTTGTACACTTACACGAGGACAATTTGGTGTAGGTTATTTGACCACCGCCTCGATTTCGTAGTAAACAGTCTATCCAACCGATGCATATCAAATTAATCTAGCTCAACCAAAGAGTCGTTGATGTCAGGATGCAACCATGTTTCTTGGAGCATAACTATTCCCAATGCGTTATTTTTTCGTCCCTATCAGTTTCGTGAAGTCGCCCATTTTGCCAAATCGTGATCGTACGTTTGATGAACAAATGGCAGGGATATACATTTTCTGAGGTTTTGTGTTACGTAAGGTCCCTCGCCAGCCTGCTCGGTGTTTTCTGAGGACGGTCAGCATCTTTTGTATCTATTTTTAAATTGACGACTGAACTTATGGAGGATGTCACTCTTTCGCGATAACACAATGTTGCAAATTCTTTAAAGACTCCGGGGCTTACGTAATGGTGAAAGCGATGAAAGAAAACTTGATTCAAACGATTAAATCCAATGTGTGACGTAAAAGTTGAATTGTTCACTGGAGCACTCAAATGTGGTACGGTCAAAATTTGAAGACCCCGCCGTTAACAGTACCATCAGATTCATCGTTGAAGTAGACTGTGTACATCCTTTTTCAAACGCTAGCGAATTCCCGGGATCTTTTATCTCCCTTCACACCAAATTATGTTGACAACTTGTCTACATGTTCCTCGTGACCGTGCTGAACATGGTTTGCATCAGTTCACTTGTATTTTGACTATATTCAGCGGACGATTCTTTTGTCGGTAGTACACTCCGTTTAAATGTACCGCAGTATTGTATACAAGCCTTCCATCACAACCCAAATGAACCTCTTCTAAAAGCACATAAGACGGATATCGTGATCCTGCACGGAAACCTAGACGCACGCGTTGTTCGTCTGTCACCCGCTGATACCCATGTTGGTTGACATCATAGCCTTGATAGCTGTCGTTCAGATGATGGGAATACACTCCTAAGCATATGCTCAGATCACGGTCCGTTTCTCCATAGCATGGACTTCAGACACTCAAAGCGTCACCTCACCATCTGGTGTAACCTCTCTTCGACACACACGTGAAGTCAGATAGATCATATAACTGTTAGTTATAGATGGAGAGGATGTGCGAAAGACTGCCGTTCGTATTGGTCTACCTGCTTGGACTCCGACTACACACTAGTTTGTGCCAAGTTGTCTATGCGTTTTTGTGGCCGCAAACGATGCGATGCAAACAGCTCGACGTCATCAAGCTCTCTGACCGGCCGTGCTAGCCGATTATCAAAACGAGTTGGCCGCAAGGCTAATTACTACCCCACAAAAAGCGTACATCAACACTGGACAACCATTCAAAACGCAATGCATTCAGTCGGTTTACACAGTTGTGGTCTAACACGCCGATTTGTAAGTCACTGGGTCTCCTCCAGCTCTCTCGGATTCTCGACGCGCGTCGGGCAGTCCCGGCAAACCGCAAGTACAACGAACAGCGCCTCCCTGAAGCGTGAACTCACAAAGAGTTTGAGAGACGACCGAGAGGCCTGGTTGACGCTACGTGCAAAATAGGTGGAATCAGCAGCTAGGTGTGGAAATTCCCCGCAACTATTCCAGCTCATCCGTGCTACAGGCCCCGAAAGACAGTATGTCAGTGAAACAATCTGTGAAGTAGACGGCACGTTAATAAACAGCCTTTACCGGCGATTGGAACGCTGGGTGGAGCATTTCATATCGCAGTTCAACCAGCCTCCGCGCTGGCTGCCCCAAGCAGCTCTCTTGAAAGTGCACCCTGGCCACTATCCACGGGTCCACCCACATAAGCGGAGTTCCGAAAGGAATTCCAAAGCTGCTAGCGTCCGTTTTATTACGCAGGTTATGCCCGTTTCGTGAAAAGCAAATCCACGAGGAGCATGCCGGGTTTCGTGCACGCTGTGGATGCATAGATCAAATCTTCACCTACTCGAACACCGCCACGGATACAAACGGCAAACCATTGTCGTGTTTTTGAACATCAGAGTGGCTCTCGACTCTATCGATCGCCCCGCACTATGGAACGGTTTAAGGAGATACGGGGTACCCGAGAAGTATGTCTCAATCCTACGAGCGCTCTATTACCAGACCTCGGGGAAGGTTAGGGCCTATGATGAATTCTCACCCTCATTTTCTGTCACCAGTGGGGTGCGACAGGGTTGCCCTATCTCTCCGTTTCTCTTCAACTTTGCCATAATGATGTCCTACAAAACGCGTTACATAACGTGACGAACGCAGGCATCGAGCTTCTTCCTGGGGACAGAGCCGATGATATTGCCTTACCGAGTGACAACGCTTCAAGAGTCATTGAACCGTTTGGCAATTGAGGTTACTCGCTATGATATATCATTTGCACCTTCAATTGCAAAGGGTTGTTGCAAGATTGGCAGGAACCCATTCCTGCACTTTCGTTGGGTAATCACAGTCTGGAATTAGCCGAAAGCTTTGTCTACCTTGGGAGTTGCACAACGGCTGGCGGATGTGTGAGCGAGAAGATCTCTCAACGCGTGATCAAAGCTCGATTAGCGTTTGTTAGTCTGCGGCATCTCGCGCCGGCGCGACATATCCCTTTCACTGAAAGGGCGTGTGTTTTGTGCAACGGTGCGCACCGTGTTGCTCTATGGCTGCGAGACCTGGCCTCTCCGAGCAGATCACGTGCAGCGACTATCAGTCTTCGACAACCGCTGTGCGTGCAACATCGCCCGCATATGGTGGGATGATCGCGTGAATAACGATGAAGTCAGATGACGGGTGCTGGGATCGGATTGTCTTCCTTTGAGCAAAATAATTTCAGAGCATCGTCTTAAGTGGCTAGGGCACTAACTACGAATGCCTGAGCACCTTCTGCCACACCGTGCACTACTCGCAAACATCGGTCCAGGCTGGACGAAACAACGAGGTGGGCAGTGGTTTAGTCGCTGTCACAGGTGTGTTTCGGACCCTGTGGTCCGAGGTTAGAGCCCCGCCACCGCCACCCAGCTTCGGTGGTAGACAGCTTTTCTGTCGCCCGGTTCCATACCACACCTGACTTATCGGGGCCTTTTGTGGTTCGCCACTCCAAGTCTCGGGGCTCAGGATGCCGGTTACCACCACTGACCATGGGGCTTTGCTCGTCTGCTGTTCACCACACACTGGTGTGTAATAAAAACAATTAAAATAGTCATCCAGCCAATGAGGTGCTGTCCCGTCCACGTTCCGTTTGTCTCATTGGATGCATGAGGCTAGGGGCTGATCCCGAAAAGTGGACCGATAATTAACGAACCAGCGAACGACAAATTTTACCGAAATTCAAAGTTCTTGCGTGACAAGTCTCTAGAAGCTCCCATACGGATGCTGCGGTCATCCTCCCGCGTTCCATGTTCTCCCCATTGCCTTGTGGTTCAGACTTTCAATTCGAAGATTCTAGTTAGGGTTCTCGAAGAAAAACCCCTTTGTCGATGTGGGCTACCGCGAAGTATGTCGTGCCCCAAATTCTTGAAGCAACCATTTGGAAAAACCGCTTTCTGATCCATCTAGCTCTCCCAAATCGTACGAGATGCCTTTTGTTTGCACAACCCATGGGATGTCACTCGGTGTTCAACTGGTGAGGTCAACTAACTAGAGGATAAAAGATTTATAAAAATAAAGTCTCTTTTTCACTTAGCCTTACCTAACGTCCACACACTGTAAAATCGGCCAACGAGCTGCCTTTCAATTTAGATGTATGCTGTCTCCGAAACACGCATGCAAGACCGTACTGCACCTCATCCTCACGCTTCACTCTTCGTGTGTCGGTCTATTCAGCCACCTAAGTTCGTGGTTTTGCTGGTATCAGGATTGCGCCAAGTGTCAAGGCTGACCGTTCACTTTTCCACTGGATCCCGGTTAGCAGCTGTTGACTGTGCGTCTGAATGGGGACGCATTGATGAACGGCTACAAAACAAAGCGTTGGTGTTTACTCAGATTCGTGTATGCAGCGACCGATTGCAGTTTGCCAGAACTGAAGGATGAATTATAGATCGACCTCTCCAAAGTGCTGGGTCAACGGACCTCGTGGTAATCGCTGGAGACTTGAGTGTTCAAGTGTGATCCCTGGATGAATCAGAAAGGCTTCTTGGTGGTTCAAATGCAACCCTAGCTAACCGGACCGGCAGAGAGAATGCCTCTGTGCGGCCCACGGATTGTTCCTGTGAATCACTAACTTCTTGCACGAGAAACGACACCGCCCTACACGCGCAAAATGTGCATCTACAGATTCCGTTAAACACCAGACGATGGAATTCTCGCTGGGATTAAACTCCATCGAATGTCTACCGCCAGC